TCCAGCAATTAGGTGGTTCAAAAAATTATTACTTTGATCAGCAATACCTATCAGATCGCCAGCAAGAATCATTATTTTTTCTTTATTTTTGACATTTTTGGAACCAATTTTTGCAACATGTAATATATGTTCAAATATCTGTGAAGAGTTGTGTGAACACTTCCAATTGAAATTGCGACCTCTGCTGATATCTCCTCAACACTCCTCACAACAACGTACTTGCTCAATGTTTGCTTAATTTGTCGCAGTTGTGGGTCGGCCGTTCCGAGGATCGTCTTTCGCACTATCGCGACCTTCACGGAAACGTTTATGCCAAAAATACACTTTTTTTCATTTGTGCATTTGCATGTGCTACTTCGATTATTCTCAATGTCTCTGATGTATATTTGTGTAATAAAAGACAAAACTTTATGTTTGAGCGTGGCTCTGTAGCCGATATTATCAAATACCTCACAGCGACAAACAAACATGCAGGAAGAATAAAAACAGGTTGCTCCGCAAATCCAAAAATAGCTATGAGGATGAAGATTCTGCTGAAGTGATGTCATGAACATTACCAATATCTAATAAAGAAAAATTGGCTATATTAAAAGAATAATTCCTGGATTACGGGAACTTTTTGAAGCTAGTAGTATACGGAAAATATACGTAGTTCAGAAAAAGATATGTAATGCTACGGAAAGTCAATTTTGAGATTTCAACGGAAATACCCGTTTTTGAGTCCCCTGATACCGAAAAAATATTTTTTACTTTCTTGCTTCGCTTACGCAGTAGAGAAAAAATTATGTACTGCAGCGCGAATAAATGCGAATTTTTTGGCAGAAAAACTCATTACAGCGCCCTGATGACGAGAAAGTGGGTAACTCCAATTTAATTCAGAGGGGAAAACTCGAACACGTGGTGTAGCCAGAATCCAGCGCTGTCGTAACTCTGGTTCGAGGGGTGTATTGAACCACGGCGGCAAAAAATTAGAACATTTATTTAAAACTTTGAATGAAACAAACCAAAATTTGTAATATACACATATATCAAAGAGCAAAACAGTTTTAGCCCTGCGTGTTAGTAATCGACGTAGAAGTATAACCATAGATTAAAAAAAGTTTTATAATTCACCGGTTTCGTGAAATAAACAGAACAGTTTATATCGCGGCATTGTTCTGTCCGCCCCTCCTATCTGTGGTCAACGCTAGCACCTTAGCTGTTCACGCAGTTTTCTTGAAATTTGATATTCCCTCATCGATCTGATGGAACTGCGAAACCTGCATGTTTGAATCGGATTTGTCGATTTTTTGCAGTACTTTACATGAAGATTCAACACTTTTGAAATCTTCTCAAAAATGGCTTCAATTTTTTATGAAACATTGTCATTGGATACCGAACTCCTAAAAGAACAGCGCGGTTTTCATTCTCATTAAAGTTCCTAATTTTTTGAAAATTGTCGAAGATTGAAATTTTCCGCGACTTTCTACTACAGAATATTGAAAAATTTTAAAACAATTATGTACACAAAAGAACTTTTTTGCATAGCAAAGTTAAGTAAAAAATATTGTGCTGGTCTTTCTGTAACCAGTGCACATTGCAAAACCAAATTCTCTGTATTTTATAAAGTTGCAAAAAATTAACACTGCAAAAGTACAATATTAATGAAAGATATTTTTTTCTTAAATTAAATCAGTTCTAAAAACTATATCTTTAACTAAGGTCATATACAATTTTTTGAAGAAAAAACTAGTAGTTTTCATTTAATTTCTGATTGAAGTTACTGCAATTTATAAAAAACCATTCTCAAAAATAGCCCCAAATTGTTTCTTTATTTCTTCTATGATGAGTACAGAATGTTTAAAAATGGCGCAAGTCTCATTTTCGTTGAATTTCCTAAATTTTGAATTAACAAAAATTGTTGCGTCTTTGTGGACGCAACGCGTCTTCGAAGCCTTGTTGGGCGTAGAGCACATGGCATAGAGTAAGCCTGCATTATTATTTTTGTCAAGTCTCGTCACGTTGCAGTCAGTTAGTGCCTTTTATCCCTTCGGGGTTTCCAGACGACGCTCAACCAGGAACCCATGAATTATGGAATTCGCCGACTTCATATACTGTAGTGAAGGAATTCAGCTTGCGACGCTGGGAATAGCTAATGTTAAAAAATTGCGAGCTATTTTAGCACCACTAGTTTTATCAAAGTAAATTGTTTCACTGCTTAGAGCAGTTGCAGGAGTAGTGGCGCAGGAGTTTGCAACAACTTTTGGACGCGTTTTCACTTGTAATTCTTAATTATGACTAGGGAGCGGATTTTAATGAAATGTATTTTTTTCTTTTCACTTTCGAATATCGTTTAGTATCGAAATTAATTTTTGTTATGACAAAAGGAAATGACCCATTTAATAGATTACTAGCAGAACCCGGCAGATGTTGTCCTACTCTCATCCTTCTCTCTTTTTCCTCTTTCTCTCTCCCTCCCTCTCTTTACACCTCACACTTTTTCCCTTCCTTTCTTTTCCCTCTCTTTTATTCTCCCTCTCCTTTTCCATCTGTCTTTCCCCTCTCTTCCCACACTTTCTCTTTTCCCTCCTTTTCCCGCTTTCTCCCATTACCCACTTTCGTTTTACCTTCTCTTTTCTCCTCTTCCTTTTCCGCGTTCTACTTGCCCCTCTTTTTTCCTCTATTTCCTTTTCCCTTCCTCGATTCTCCCTCTTTATCCTCTCTTTTCTCCCTTCCCTCTCTCTTTCCCTTACATATTTTCCCTCTCCCATTTTTCCTTTTGTCTCCTTATTTTTTTACTCTTTTCTATCTTTTGTTTTACCTCTCTTCCTTTTTTCTTCTTTCTGTTTCCTTCCCTCCCTCTTCTCTCTATCCCTCGCTTGTGACTCCTGCCCTCCTCGGCTTCGCGCCGCGTTGCACGGCAACGCTCAGCAAGAAATCCAAGTGGATTGGGAATTGCATTTAACTGCAGCGCCTGCTTGTGCGGAATCGCCATTTAGCGAAGTTACAAAAAAATAAACAGCAAAAAGACCTTTTCCGTGAAAAAAATACGCTATATGCCAACTTTCGTAGAGATGTCACACGGCCACCTCCCTAAACGTATCTGCTGGCCTCTGTCGGAATGTATTAGAAACCTGTCTTTAAGCGAGAGGCGAAAAATAATGATCATGGTGCATCTACCAGCATATTATTTATTTTCCGCAATTGCGTTGTATTAAATTTTACCAAATTTTGCAGGGATACTGCGTCAAATCCCGAAGAATAGCGTGAAAATTTTGCGTATCAATGTATACTCTACTTTTGTGGAATCGATGTCGATATCATGTTGTTAAATTCACATTTATTAGTATAATTTCGTTGCATTTTTCATTGGTTTCGACTAAAAAGTATTTTTTTTTTCGTTTTCGGGTGTGGTTGATGCATTTTCGCAGATTTTAATGGTACTTGCTTCAAATAATATCTACGAAATGCAACAAATGATCTCAACAGAATTTCTGAGTTCCCTATTCTATTTATTCGCTCAAAAAATGTTATGTCAGCAGTCAATGATGGAAATGTGCGTATTAACGACGTTAGAGATATTTTAAAAAAAATTACATGTCTTTTTTTTTAATTTATTCAAAAGAACACTGCAAAACTAATTTTGTCATCTCAAAACAGTGTCTTTAGCAATATCCGTACGAAAAGTTTGGGGGACAAAGCTTTTTTGAGAAAATTGCTTCCGAGCTTTTTTGAAAATGCGGAAATTTGATCTCGTTTTCACTGAAGAGTTTAGAGTCTACGTGACAACTTTATCAGATGTCATTTAAAGCACGTGCAATGTAAAAGCAATAATGCAAAAAAAAAAAAAAAATACCGCTAATGTAAATATTAAAGACGTGAGAAACAAGTATAAAATTGCATTACAAGAGGAACTTTTGAGAATTTTTCGAGCCTGTTCCAGAGTTCTAAGACAATAAAAAATATTTTTTTCTTTAAATTAGGGCCTAAGAAAGTATCGAAGAATGTTTTTCTGATAGTGTAAATTGTTTTCTTAGTTATTAATTTTTTTCAGTGAGACATGTGTTGAAAGAAATTCAAATAAAAAGAATAATATTTTTTTTGCTGTGAATGGGTGTGGGTGTTGGGACGGGGGCTAATAAAGGTTTCAAAAATATAATTTTTAGGTTAGAATTATTGTGTAACTACTCATGTCACTTGGTTTAGGGGAACGTTCTGCAATCTTATTCGAGGTACCCCTTTGCAACTGAATTCATCCACTTTTTCGTTACCAGGGCCGGGCAATGGGTTTTTGTTTTTGTTTTTTTTGCACAAAATTCGCCACTTTTTCTGGCAGCATTATATAACTCTGCGTAAGCGAGAACGTAAAAATTTTAAACTTAAAATTTAATTCTCAAATTCAAATTATTTATTGCATGTAAAACTGAATTGAGACTCTGTGGACACCCCAGGCCTTTTTTTCTCTGGGCAGCGCACCATGTCATGCTTTTGGCTCTTACTGCATCTACTCTTTAGCCTTACGCTTCAAAATAGGGCCTTCAGGGCGGCAATCATTCTTCCACGGGTGGAGGGTCTAAACGCTAAGGATCACAGCGCGGCGTCCGAGCGGAATGTCAATCATCAGTCTCCGTCTGTCACTGCAACTTTATGAATTTCGTGCGTTATCGAAACATCAGTTCAGTTAATTATTGCTGGTAATGAATGTTTGGAGAATGTATATTCATTTCATGATAAGGGTTAATTCAAAATGTACATTAAATGAGCCCTCTTTGTAAAATAGACCATTCTGGAAGAGTTTCCAGACTGAAGTTATAGTATGTGAGCGTTGTTGGGATTGTGTTACAATCATTACCAAAATAGTGAGATTTTCCAAGAACGTGTTCAAACAATAGTGTTTGTCACATGTACTGCAGTGCGATCAACATATTTTAACACCAAGATTTTTTAAATTTTCTATGTATTATATTAGTCAATTGTCTAAATATAAGCCTGACAACACTATGCATAAAATTATGTAGTAATGTGTTAATATACTTATATTAAATTTGGTTTTAATTAATTTACCTGAATTGTTCTTGTTTAATTATAGGTTAGTGTTCTGTCATTCCATGGAACTGCAACCTGCAGTTCGCTGGGGCACCAGCTGCTGCTGTAATTGATGAGTAATTTTTTTTTCTGAAGTATAGCACAAAAGGTAGCTTAGTCAATTCACTGCACTGACCAGTACCAAGCAAAATCAAACAGGACAATGCACTCTTGAGGTCAAATTCTTTGTCTCATGAAGGTACCAGAAAAAGTAGTACAAGAACAACAGAACTCTGCCGGTCTCTTTGTCAGGTGATATATTAGTGAGATTCCATTTTTAATATCATAAGTGATCAAAACTTCTTAAAGTGAAATATATTTGTTACTCCTAAGATAACATTCTTTCATAAGAATATTATCTAAATTATACAATTATCATGACCAAGTATGAGAAAAATTCTCAGAATTTCAAACCGCTTCAATGCCTTTTCGCAAACTGACAGCGCTTCACACAAAGCATGGAAAATCTGAACTTATAATTTCCAAATTCGCAATTATCGAGTTCAGCAAAACTGCTACTTTCTTGCTATGTATGTGAACATTTTTTTGAAAATTTAGGAGGATAATGAAAATGTGATCTATGCCTTTTCTTTATGCTTTTCCTTGGTCAGAGGAAAAAAAACACGTGAAGATACAAAATACAGAAACCATTTGAGACAATTTTGAAAATCGTGACATTTAGTTGGATCGAATGGGCGATATAAAATGTGGTAAAAATCCTTATGGTTTAGCTGCTAATGTGTTTCACTGACAGACATTTTACTGCCAATCAATTTTTTGGATCCAAGGAAGTTACTTATGTTCAGGAACAAGATGTCAGGGCCCAGCACAAAGATTTTGTAAAAAACTTGCTTCCCCCCCCCCACTGCATTACAAACTTTATCTGTTCTGCATAAGCAGTAGCTGAAAAAGCGAACGAAGGACAAGTTTATGTAAACTTTTATTTTTTACTGTTTAAAATGTATCTAATTTGCAAAATTGTTCACTACCCCACAAAAAGTTCCTTAAATAAATATATATGTTTGAAAATATTTCTTTCCAAGGCAATGTTCCTAAACCCATAGTATACGCACAGAAAAAAAAATTTAAACACTGGGCTATTTTATGTTCAGTAAAAGATAAGTCTTTAATTCCAATTTATATGTACATTTAACCAAGAGACCAAAAACACCAAATGTGTTTTAGAAAATCTGCAGATAATGTAACGCACAACATGAATGAAATAATTTGAATCCTATATAACAATATTAGAAACATGTTTCTTGTGGAAATGTATAAATAAATTGAGGAACTGAATAGAAATATACTGATGTTACCCAAATAGATTTTTATTGCATGTTTTACACAAACAGCACACAACATAGGTTTTTACAATCGGCGACCTCTTCGTCCACCCTTCCTACGTGTAGAATCTGAAGGAATGGGAGTCACATCTTCAATTCGACCAATCTTCATGTTGGATCGAGCCAGAGCACGTAGTGCTGACTGAGCTCCCGGGCCAGGTGTTTTGGTCTTGTTACCTCCTGTTGCTCTTAACTTGATATGCAAAGCAGTTATGCCCAAAGATTTGCATTTTTCAGCAACATCCTAAAATCAATCACACAAACAGTTACTATAAAAACTCAAAATTAAACAATCCATCCAAAAATTACTTCAGATTGTTAAATAAATAAAAATGAATTCAAGCAATGCAATTTATTTTTCAATAAATGTATATACGACTGTAATACATTTATGTATTATTCTCTACTCCTGATATTTTAACTCAATAAGATATGGTGAAAGAGAGAGAGAGTATAAAAAATTGACAATAGTTGTTAGTCCACTTTGCCCAATTAGTGTAATATTCAACATCACCACCACCAATCTAAGAGAGTCCCCGGAAAAAAGTGTTCTGCCATCATTCGCCAATAAAACTTTCAGGTCTTATTGCATTTCCAAGCAGATTAATTTTGCAGACCGCCAAGTGATCTCAGATCACAACCTGAGTCGTGTTTAGATCTGCAATACTAACAAATATATGTACAGTACTTTGCAGTACAGTACAGTACAGTACAGTAAGTAGTTGTCATTCTTCACTAAAAATTGAACTTTAATGTAAATTATGATAAAAATACATCAATATTAAATCTAGTTGCTGTGATTTCTACTACAAAAGCAACCAAGGGGAAAAAAGGAAACCCCTCAATTTAAACTATGGAAATAAAATGAAGAAAAGTGAAATATCCATCAGATTCATTACTACTCTTTAAAATCTGCCTTAATTAAAAATGGTCAAATATCAATCAGTACTGGTTTTGAACAGCCTTCATGGCAACAATAAGTACAACAAAAGTGGCAAGATATTTTAATGTTTCACGGGAATTATCGCAGAACTGAAGAAACAAAGAAAACCAGTGTTGATAGTAACCACACCAGATGTATAGAAAAAGTTCCCAAAAAATCTACCATGCAAGGAATTCAATGGAAAATAAGGCTCCCATTATTACACAATACAATATTCAACACTTTCAAAAATTAATAACAGGAACAGGTAAACCAATCAGATAATACCAACATATTACAGTATGATTCAGGATAAATTAATACAACAGAGGTTGAGACAGGGATTCTGAGAAACAACACTGAATTGTTAGCACACCTGCTATCAGTTTTATAACAATTGCTGAACCATGTGTACACATTTATAGATTTAATTTTAATTCACTGATTGAGATTTTACACTGCCTTGCTCATGTAAGTTTATAGAATCCAATGTACAGGTTACTCTATGATTCACGTTAAATGAATGTTGCAGATTCGCATAATTCAATCCCAATCCCCACATCAGCCAAAAGGTACAAGCAAAAATTCTTTGAATTACAATGAGGAATTGGAGGTAATGTATGTTCTGAAATTTATGTGTAGCTATTAACTACAAATATCATTCAGATAAGGAATTAAAATCATTAACTGTTTTACCCATATCGGTTAGTAGAACCCATGTTACAGTTTACTCCATGGTTCAGGGTAAATTCATTTTGCAGATTTATATGATCCTCTTCTAAGCAACAACTTGGAATGGTACCGCATCTGCTACATAGTTATCCTGTGATGATCTTTGAATTACAAGAAGCATTTTAACGTCCACATTCATTGGTGTCTATATGGAACTCCATTCAACACCCTCAGAAAATAATTGAAAATTATAATGCTGTTTTACCCATACGGTTAGTAGAACCGCATGTACAGGTTACTCCATGCGTTCAGGTAATTCATTTTGCAGATTTTATGATCCTATTCTAAGAGTCAACTTGGAATGTACCGCACTCTGCTACATAGTTATCCTATGATGATCTTTGAATTACAAGAGCATCTTTAACGCCACAATTCAATTGGCTGCATTGAACCCAGTCAAACCACACCTCTTCACAGTAAATAATTGAAATTATAAAGTCTGTTTTACCCATATCGCGGTTAGTTAGAACCCATTGTTACAGGTTACTCCATGTTCAGGGTAAATTCCATTTTGCAGATTTATATGATCCTATTCTCAAGCAACAACTTGGAAATGGTACCGCATCTTGCTACATAGCTTA